TAAGTTTAACATAACAGCAAATGTACAATGTTTCGACAAGGTTTTGTCATCATCAGGTACAGAACCTTGTCTAAACATTGTAAATTTGCTGTTATGTTAAACTTATATTAAAGTTTTTCTTCGTTACCCATTCAAGCCGTCTCCAAGCATTATTAATCAATAATGACTTGTCTAGAACAGTTCATACAACCACTAATGTGTATACAGAAGTAATAAATTTAAAAGTGTCATTGAAGATAAGATACTGTGCTCACAAGGATGTGATAAGAAGGTTTATATACTTTTATCTACAGAGGGTTAACAACTTGTGACTACTTGAGAAACAACATAGTTGGAGCAAAACAAAAGAAAGACATTATATTCAAAGTTCGAGTTGTTTATTTCATGTTTGTAGAATATTCAGAATTTCTAACAAAACATTTAAACATTTTGGCAAAAAAAGTTAGAAAAACTACCTTTATTTTCCATATAATAATAAAAAGACTTATTATTTCTGACAACGTTTCACCATTGCATTTTAATTTAGGGCTAGTAGTACAAGAACGTTTTACCATCTGGTATAATAAAAATTGTTTTTCTGACTTTATTGCCAAAATGTTTATATCCCTCCAGTATGCACTACAAATTCTGAAAAACAACAAAACAAATTTAAAACATTGAAACAGAATTTCTCCTGTCATAGTAAGTTATACTGCTTTATGCACAGATCTATTTTTTAGTGAAATATGATGATGTCCTTGCCTAATGATTGGATGTGGCATTGCCTGTTTTATATCAGATTTTATGTGAATGGTCCTGATATCTAACATGCTTATGTATTGGATAAAGGAATGTAAGGTTATTACCTGTGTATATATAGATGGAGGCACTTAAGGTGTCTGTCTAGGAATACAGAAAAGTTTACATTGACCTATGTACCTCTACACTATTCACAAATATTTCTAATTGCAAATATATTTTTTTAACAAAACATTAAAAAACACTAGGCTCGCATCTCTGACCAGATATGTGTCCAGTGCAGCCCAGTGGTTATAATATCATTGTATAGGTCACTGGTTAGGCCACATTTGGAGTACTGTGCAGTTTTGTGCTCTTTACTTTAGGAAGGACATTGAATTGTTGGAAAGGGATTCAAAGGAGGGCTACTGGAATAATACCTGAGATAGAAAGGTTATTATATGAGGAGAGGTTAAGATCTCTGAAATTAGTTTCTCTTGAAAAAGGAAGAGTTAAAGGGGATCTGATCAAGGTGTTTAAAATTGTTAAGAGTATTGATGCATCATCTTTTTTCATACTTAATGGTGATAATGGTAGGACTAGGGGTACAAATATAAGTTTTTGGCAGGGTAGGAGTCATTTTCAACTAAGACAGTTTTGTTTTTCTAACAAGGTAGTTGGTCTTTGGTATGGGTTGCCTGCATGTGTGGTAGGAGCAGTAAATTTAAATGAGTTTAAGGGAAGGCTTGATAAATATATGAATGATAAGGATTGACTTTGAGGTGTCGTTTTTTTTTTTTAATAGTTTTAGTTTAGTTCATTGGATGGAACAACCTAGACAGACCAATAGGTCCCTTGTTGTCCCTAAATGTTATGTTATGCCAGACTAGATCTCGGGTTCCATGGTTTGTTTCCTCTTACCATGGGTGCATCATAAGAGTGATGGTCAAATCCTGCTAGTTCTGTCAAGAGATAAAAATAGATGATGATGACTAGATGCCTTCTTTGTACTCTTATCACTTCTAAAGTAGGAATGGCAAATATCCTTTAAGTAGCTTTGCGTGAAAGACAACAACATTGGTATGTACTGTTCCATAGTTCCTACATGTATATTTCTCCATCTCTTTCACATAGTATGACCAGCATTTTCATTGTTATTTGCCAATGGCTACCACCAATTCAAAAGTCTGGTACAACTGTTTCCAATTTAAGTAGTAACTACCACAAGAATTGCCTGTCAAATATTTTTCATCTTAATTTGTTAGATTAAAATCGTTTTAACAATTCACTGAAGATACATTTTAAGTAATAACTATAAGGAGAGTTCAAAGAAATGTCATGTTGTAGTAATTCAAGATTAAACCTATCTCCACAAGAATGAGATTCATGGATCTAATGTGGAAAAGGACAGTTTTAACGATTTGTTACAGTTGAAATGAAAAGATGCGAGACACTGTGTTGAGGTTCAGTTGCAAAGAAAATTAATTAAAAACTATTTTCTACACTAAGAGAGTGTATGTTATCAGGTAAGTGGGAGGACTAGAAAAGAAATAGCCAGAAAAAAAAAAAAAGGTGAATGTAGATAATTGAGAAAAGTTGAACTTTAGCACTTGTAATCAGAAAGAAGAAATGTGGCAAGACAAAGCATAAGCAAGTTTTGAATCTCTGAGGTTCGAATATGATCTAAGATCACTAAAATTACATTCACAATAAACTTTCTCTCTGCATCTGACAAATCAGATGAAGAAGCACCTGTAATGGAAACATAATAACTCCGTGATGGTCAAGAATGTCGCAATGCAGCTATTCCATGAAACAGTATATAATTTTCTTAATCCATCAAGCTACATAAAGTAACATGTCGAGCTAAAATTTTGCACACAATCTCAACTGGATTTAGTAAAATTCCAAAATTGGAACTTAAAGAAATTCTTTAGATACCAGCTTATTTCTTTGTTCAATGCATAGACGATCCTATGTCACTTTTTGTGGGTCACTAAGGGTAAATGAAGGTTTGGTGACAATGGTTCACAAGTCAGAAGCAGAAATTTGTCAAGATTTAATACATAGTATAGAAAAGTAATGTGTGATTTTCATGCTGTAATGTTAAGATGTTTAACATCAAAATTTGATTTTAAACTAGCAGTGAGCATTTATGAACACAGTTTTTGCTGACGATGTTGAAATAAAGGACTGTTTTAATGTTTATTCCTGTTTTTTTTATAGTGATTTGAGATAGTGTTACAACAATATTACTAGGGAAACTACTAAATATCCAAATAACGTAGCAGTAAAAAAGATGCGGAAGTGTATGTGTGATATTCTCGGGTCACAAATTTCTACTTGAGTAATGGAGTAGAATTTTTTAAATTAACAAGAGGTTCAACAGAAGATGTTTGCAGAGTTGGACTGAATTATTTTGAGTTTATAGTAAAGAAAAATGTAAAAGACACAAAAAAATTTGCTCAATATAAAAACAAATCAAGGGAATGAGTGTGTGGAGAAAAAAAAACAGCTAATACCTTTGCAGAAGATTGGTGAATATCTGTAGAAATCTAAATTCTCTTTCTGATTGAGAAAACGTAGATGCAGTTCAATATTGTTGTTATTTTCATGTTAATCATTCCAATAAAAAAATATCGGGGATTTTAATCTTAAGGTGTCACCTAACCTGCCAGTAGAAAAGATTACAGCCCGCCTTCAAATAATATGGTCTACTTTATAGCAATATTTTCCACAAGCAATTGCACGTAGCACCACAGGGAAATGACCAAGAAAAATAGGTAACTAGAGCAAAAAGAAACTTAGCTACTTCCCTGACCAATGTACTACTTTTGAAACTACATGCGCTTGTATACATGAAAATTTTGAAAAAAAATTAGGATGGACTTTAAAATAAATTTCTACTTATATACTGATAAGAAATAAAACATCTTTTATGGTTTTGTCACTTAAACAGTTTTATTAATGTCAATGAACATAAGGAGGCTTTCCGAGTGTGGTGATTCTTATCCATCTAACAAATGTTTGTAGTCGAAGTTTAAGGTAAAGAAAAGGTGCCTGAGGTAAAAATCATGCTAGAATCATCTTTCAAGGTCATTATTTTTAGTTTGAAATTTTTCTAACATCTTGAGAAATTACGAAATTAGGTTTGAAAAATCAGTCTGTTGAGTTTCATGCAAAGCTACTCAATGCCATTTACTCTAGCTGTCTATAATTTTAAACTGAAAGACAAGAGAAAGGGCAGCTAATAAACATCGACAACATTTGAGCTACTCTTTAACAACGAACAGTGGGATTGACCGTCACTTTTTAATGCTCCAAGGCTAAAAGGGCGAGCATATTCGGTGACGAAGTTTTGATTCCACAACTTGCAAGTCGAGTACTCTAACCACAAAGCCTCAAAAATTGTATCATATGGTGGAAGATTAAGATAAACTTGAACAATGTTTAATTATTTACATATAAATGTTAGGCATCGCCCACAATTCTGAAGAACAAATGTGTCTAGGTAATGCCTAACGTTTATCATATTTTTAGTGTTAATTGCTCTATCTTAGTCGCACGGATTCAGTAACTGTTAGTGTTACGGACTATCTGTAACTCGAATGTAGCGATCAGGGATAGGTGGAGTATAACAACTGCATCATGCGAACTAGTATGATCACCTTATAAAAGAAGAAGAAAAAGATAGTCAATCCTGTTCCAGTTTAAAGAAGTGGTTGAAATCCTTGTGGTGGAGAATTTAACTTGATTAACTGGGAAGTAATCAGCACAGGGAATTATAGTTGTAAATATTCACTTTATGGGAATGCTGCTGACATAGCTGCTTCCTCTTGGTCATGACTTCAAAATTGAGAACAATTATATTGAAACCAAGAAGTCTCTGACTTGGCAGTTTAGCTCATGTGTTAATATGTTTGTATATGAAACAACCTGTATTTAATATGTTAGTCTTGTTTCACATGTTATGATTATTAATATCGACAACGTTCTTATAATCAGAAAAAATGTTTAATTTATTCATTATAATAATACGCTGCATGGCTGGAAGATTTAGATAAACCAGTTAAATGGTGTAAGTAATTCTGTTATTATAATTATTATCAGAAAAAGTAATCTATTGTATTGATAACACAACTCCCTAAAAGTAGTGTTACGTGTTTGTTATCTTTCAATATTATACAGTTAATTCAGTGGCTTGGGGAATAAATATAATGCGAATATTAAATATCAATTCTCCATGTTGACGAATAAACGTACCTTCAACTTTCTAACTATAAATCATAAACAGAAAGTATCATAAAATAAATTGAGCTATATAATGACATCTATAACTACCACACTGTGGTTACATAAAATAGGATTTTTGCTAATACTTTGCATGTAATATTTCGCACACAATTACTTCAGTGTGAAGGCTAAATTTTCGTTTTAAAAATATTTCAATGTTACAGCATCGGAGTTATCATTCAGTTACCACTAATAATGATAACATCTTTATAGTTAACAACAAACAAAGCCTTTAACAATTTTAGATGATTGTGGTATTAATGAAAAAATAATAACGAGATTATTTATTTTTTCTTCTTTCCTCTCACTATCACAAGTCCCAACATAGATTAGCGGTTGATTTACGGACTTACAAAATTCCGCAACATAATTCCTCATGGTGAACAGTGACCAGATATCACATTTTGTAGTTTTACACTAATACAGAACAAACCACTTTTACCAATTTTTTTTTTCAGTAACTAGATCTTTTCTGATCTCAAAGTTTAGCTGATTTAGTTCATAGAACAATTACTTAATATTACACTGTATTTCCAAAACAAGAATTCCTAACCTTCTCAAATGTAACCTATGGTGTACAACAGATTTTTTTTTTAATTTTTAGTCTTGTTCTGCTCATCCAAACACCATATTTGTTCTCTCATGCATATTTTAGTTGAGGATTCATTTATTCTCTGGGCATTACTCAAACATATTGGCCCTTATCTGAATATTGTTGTACACCCGAGAAAACTGCTCAACAACTATTTGATTTTGTTATGTTTCTTTAGATATTATTATTAAACACAAAACTACACAATAGGCTATCTGTGTTCTGCCAACCGCGAGTATCGTAACCGGGATTTTAACGTTATAAGTCGTCATACTATCGATGACCATTGAGGACATCCTGGATCTATCTAGTAACTCGATCATTTGATTGACAAATTCTTAAGTAACTTAAATATCGTAAGCCTAACAAAAGGGTAATAACCTACAGTAATTAGTAGCCACCAAATACATTATCCTCTGAGTTACATCCTGGGCACTCATGAAAATCTAGTTTTACGGTCCTTGGCTTCATTTTAAAACATCAATATATGTAAGTATATTGATTAATATTTTCGTATTAGAAGATTACTTTTGGCAAGTAAGAGCATTTAGTTATTAGCAAAACGAAATACCCTGAGAACCAGGTCTGTACTGTTTAGGTATTTAATATACTCTTTTGCGTACTATAATTCACCTTAGGGTGAGAAAATACTCCCGGCATATTTAAAAAGTCAGACTATATATATAGACACATTGGTATATAACAAGTGAGCACATCTTTCTTTATTTATAATGAAAATATAGAAATCTCGGAACAATTATTATATAATTTGAGTATATTATAATATTTTATTACAAATTTGATATTTATTTGTTCCAGAATTTTCTCGTAAAACTACACAAAGGGCTATCTCCTCATATATATCTACACTTTGACCTGATGGACCAGAAGGAAGGCAGCTCGCAAATAACACTCACTATTAACTCGTGGGCTATATCTATCTGATCGGAAAATGTTTTTGACAGTCATATACGCATCTATGGTTCCAATGTACGGAGTGCATTCTTATGTCAATAGGCCGTTAACTATAACCGTTCTGATTCACAGCTGAAGTATGTTAACAATTAAGACATATAAGCCTGCTTAGTATGAAGTTTAGAATATTTCAAACGCTTTAGTTACAGTAGTTACGCCCCCTGTAGGACAATGCAAAAGTCTACGAAGTTACAATGTTAAATCCGGCGTTTGATTCCCCGTGGTGGACATAGCAGATAGTCCTACGTGGCCTTGATTTAACACAACCAAATCAAATCAAACAATATTTACTTATCCCCCCCCCCCCCATAATGTTTTGAGACAACATGGGACTTATTGGTCCATCGCGGCTGTTCCATCCTCTAAACTAAGTTAAAATAATTGAAATATATATATTAGCCAGCCCTTATCATTCATATACATAATTCTAATGTATAACAATAGAGGGCGTTAAAGCAAACCGATATGTATGGTATGGATTGATAATCGAAAGCTTGTATATATGGTGGGAGGAGTATTATCATGATACGATAACAATTAACGTTTGGGTCTTACGTGTTATGGGAGGAGTATTATCATAATATAGTAACATCAAACAGTTGAGTCATATATTTTATGTTTTCATTAATTTAAGTAAATTGTAAAGGTTTAGATTATTATTAGCAAGAATTAAAACTAAAAAAATTTTCATTTTCATAAATGCCTTCAAAATTAAATATGTAATTTTGTTAGTTTGTGATTCATTGTAAGAAATTGAGTAAAACCTGAAAGTTGATTTTTTAACGCATGTTCATAAACCTCTCCCGAGTATGATTATTCATGATTGAAATAATAGCATTAGCCATCTCACATCAGCTCATGAGTCATGATGGTTTATAGTTATGAAGTGTAGAACTAGAAACTAAGAAAGGACTACTACTAGTAATACCAGTTCATTATACTTAAATTTTATACCAGTAGTGCCAGTATGGTTTCTAGTTTTAACATTTATTAGTTAATGTGTGTTATACTTTATAAATAAGTTAAAACTTGAAGTTAGTTTCATTTTAAAATTAGTATGTTGTATAAGATCAAAAGAACCAGTACTAAATACACTACTTTAACTTTAAGTAGTTTGAATTCAAGAACAGGAAGAATGTTGTAGGTTTGTAGAGACTTTTGGTGACTCACTTTTTAGTGCTTTTTACAGTTTAAGTTTCTCTACTAAAGGAATGCAGGAAGGATAATGCAGCATAGTTAGGTTTGATGTTTTGCTGCATGTTGAGATAAAAATAAATTGAATTTTAGTTCCCAATTTAAGGAAAGCCAACTTAGAAGTCATAAGACAAGATCTATCATTAGGAACAATGGATAATGAGCTAAAAAGTGATGTGTGTGAAAGATTTGGAAAATGTAAAAAATAAATTTCTTTTGATTCAGCAAGTAGTTGCATTTGGGGGACTTGCATGGATTAAATGCTGCTTTCTTTGTTATCTCTGAGACTGTGATTCACTTTATAATATATGAGTTTCTGAAAACAAAAGTGCAAGAATGCTCATTATAAAGAAGAAACTGTTATGACCCAGATGCTAAACTTAATAGAAATTTCATTGAGTACATAATTATGGAAGCTGTACATTGTTGTCAATAGTGTATTTTCATGAGGTAGTGAAAACAGAACTTAGGCAAGTGCAGAAACTTCCTCCAGATTCTGCTGGTTTATTCTGTTTTTTTTATTTAGGGAGAAAGAGATATCATGTATTATACAGGGGCCTAGGTACCCTGATAATTGATATATGTATAATTTTTCATTTTGTAATATTTGCAGGTGTGGCACATTATAAGATTAAGAGGCTTGGAAAGGCTTAAACTCCCCAAATAAACTATCCCTCAGAGGGCATTATACTTACAAACTAAAAAATTTTAATACAGTATACAAAGAGATCGAAATAGGGTGTATGCGTGATTCTTCTCAACTGTCCACCCACCCACACATGACAGAATAGCCTATCAAAACACAAGACTTACACAATGCCTCTTAAAATTTGCTTGTGACATTAAACTATTGGATATTTTTAATTGTATTGAGGAAGATAACGTATTAATGACTTGGATCAGTTGGAATGTTGGAGAAATATTTAGCAAGTTTCCTTGAATTAAAGTAAGTATCAAATAATGGATTTGGATTATCATAAGTTGGATTGCATGTTCGATATAGATGGGAACCCACTCAGTAGCATGACTGAAAAAAAGGATCTTGGCATTGTGGCAGATAAATCAAGGTAGTGCTCTGTTAATAGTAGTCAAGCTAATAAAATTTCATGGTGTATTTAAATATGTATTTATTACAAGTCAAAAGAGGTAATTATTTAAATCACTAGTTAGGCCTCACTTGGAATACTGTGTGTTTAATATTGAGTTTCAATCAGAGCACACTATCTGCTTAGAGCAAAAATAAAAATCAGCCTGGTAAATATTATAGCCAGTTAACTATATTTTTCTTACATTCACACTTATGAAGATTAGAATGTATTGTTTCATAAGTTGGGTAATCTGTTGTTAATAATATATTCAGTCATCTAAGAAAGGATGTTTATTTATTGGTAAAGGCTCAAAAGAGATCTTCTGGTGTTGGAAGGGTTATTGTATATAGAGAGTTTAATTTTTAAGTTATTTTCTCTTGAGAAAAGAAGGTCATCTTATTGAAGTTTACAAGATTATTTGGGAAATCATTGTGCTGTATTTATTGAGACACTTGAATAAAAAGACACAAGTTTAATATTTAGAAAAGACAGGTTAGGCTCCAGTTAAAAAAGTGTTATTTTTCTAACAGAAATTGAAATTTGGAATGATTTATTATTGGCAGTAGTGGAATTTGGCTATCTGTGGGATTTATGCAAAATCTTGCATAAATTATGCATTTTGAAACTACCGTATACATTTCTGGCATACCATTGCATTTGATGTCCACACTTTTGTGACAGTCTCATGTTTAATGATTATTGTGATATGTACAAGTTCACAGACTACAAAGTACAGATATCTGCAAACCAAGTGGAAAGTTGTACTGTGGACTAAGATAGATAAGTTGCTGTTGCTCACTTATAATGCACATTGAAATCTTCCAAAATTAATTGACAACAACTTGTTTGATTAGGTCACACAGTAGCTGCCAATCAGTTTCAGGTCCAAGTTATCCAACCATATTTTTAACCTTTGTAACTCTTTTGTTTTTTATATAATGGCTTGGTCATTTGGACAAACCCTGTAACTAGCAGGTAACCATGAAAATACTTTTACTATAACTTTTAATGTAGTAAATGTATATTTACAAAACTTTTAGTAAACATTAAAATACTTTTTGTATGCAGAAAATCTGATTTCTAAATTAAGTGTTTTTACTAAAGGTTTATAAAAGTTAAATCACATGGTGACCCATTTTAGCTACACACAATTTTACATTTTGTTTTTAGTTTATTTAAGTGAAAAATTTCTCAATAAGTTGTGAAGGTTATGTATTCAGAGGATTGTCTATTGGCTTCTGTAAATCAAATGTCAGTGTTGTCTCTTGTGTTTTTGTCTCCGATAGTTTGGTGATAATTATTGGGATAAGTCCAGGCAGTTTCTTCTTCTTTTCTTTTTTGTACCCTTTTTGCATTTTTAGAATCAATTCAAACTTTATTTGAGATTTTGGTTTTTTCAATATCAATACACTACTTCAATTAATGAAAGAGTTTCATGGGTACCTTTCCTACGGAGAATTAATGTATTGAAACCTGAACAATTTTTATTGCTCTAATTATATAGTAGATTGCAACTTTTGGCTAGTTTTATTCAGGCCGCTGGTTGTAGACATTTTAGTTTAAATTTTAGAAAGAAAGAAGCATCATGTAATTTCTGGGTTCTTAATTCCTTCTTATTTTATGTAAAAAAATTTCAGGTTTTCCTGTCATGGAAGAAAATCCAACAAATGATCTTCAGTTTGGGAAATACCACAAATTAGCTGCTGAGTATTCTAAAGTAAGAGATTGTTTTATATATTTCTGTTCCTTCCATTCAGGGCTATAAAAACACAGATGCACAAAATTTAGCTTAAAGATTAAGATCTCCCTTTAAAATGAAATGTTATTTTTACAAAAAAGAAAGAACAATACTACAAAATCTAATAAATGACAAGTCTTACCAAATAGCATTAACAGCAGAAATCAGGATGATATCTTTAAGTTTACACTAAACATCACAATTGTTAATACATTGTTGATGAGAGGAACTATCTCCCCTTTTTTTAAAAGCCAGCTGGAAATTTATTGTATTTTATAACCTTTAGCATATTTAAGAATAAAATGAGTCAAATAAACACAAAACTGTTATGTTATGATGAAAGCATCTGTTTTGTTACTACTACTTTTATTTTTTTAATTTTAAACGTGGCAGGAATTTAGTTTTACAAGAAAGAAAAGCTTTCCTCAACTGGGGTGTTCAGGGATATTGATATCCCCCTTTGTCCTTTGTTTCTCTTTTTTTTTTTGTAATAGTTTTTACCCAATGTATCAAGCCTGTACTTAAGTAGTGGTAATTTACTTGCTTTGTGTAAATAGCTGACTGGTGTGTATCTTGGAAGCTTCAGGGCTAATCTTAATACTGTCTTCTGTTGATATTGTAGGTTTTTGATTGCTCTATCTGACATATTTATGCTGACTTGACAACTGTATTCAATAATTGGACGAATATCAACTACTACTGTTCACCAGTAGAGAAACTTGTTATTTAGATAATGAAAGGATGTGTACCTAGTGTACTTCAAGACTTTCAACAGGCTTTTGATAAGGTGCCACCCAGAAGATTAGTTAAGAAAATCACATCAGTTGAGGTTGGGGAAAGACTAGTTAAATCGATTGAAGGGTGAGAGGAAGCAAAAAATGTTATTGAGAGAGTCCAGTTAAACTGGACCTTTGTTACTTGTAGTGTGCCTCAGGAGTCACTGCTTGGATTTTTTATTTGTTTACATTAATAACATTATCTCTTGAGAAAAGAAGAGTAAGAGGTGATCTGAATAAAGTTTAAAGTTACAAGATCGTTTGGGGGGATTAATAGGATGACGGTCTATGATTTATTTGTACTGAAACCTGGAAACAATCCAATGAGAGCACATGCATTTAAGATTTGAAAAGACTGGGATAATCCAGTTAAGACAGTTTAATTTTTTTAAGAGATTGGTTTGCTTATAGAATGAGTTGCCATCTACAGTCATGGAGGCCAGCAGCATTCAAAATAGTAAGAAGGGAATCTACAGTTTTCTTAAAAGTAAAGGGTTGGATTGAAGGACCAAAATATCTCTTTTTGTTTGTTTGTTTATTTGTTTGTTCAGTTAACTTGTTTGAGAGAGTCTGTCTCACAAACATTCAATAATATATTCAAATATAAGTTTGGAGTGATGATTTCATGAATGCTGCAATTCTCTGCGCTTTCCTTCCTGGATCTTTAATTAATTTTATCAGTTCATTACAACTGTTCAGTAACTAAAACCGGAATGAAGCTTGTTGACAATCCTGTACATGTTGTGGAAGCTATATGGTATATTTCATTTGGAAACTTGTATACTCTGATTGGCTTTCAGTAATATTACACCAGTGAGATTTGCCCTGTAACATCTCAATATAGCTATGATTCTGCAGGTTTGTGTGTGTTATGTGTGGGATTTTGGGTATACTGTACAATACTTGTTAGAACTGGAGAAAAATAGCTGTGAATAGTGAGTGTGAATCAAAAAGACAAAGGAAGGGAAAGCATAATGCTGCAAAGGCATTATTTACATTAAAAAATAAATCTCAGACTCAACGTTCTATTTTTCACTCTTTGTAACTATTATGCTTACTTTCCACTTTATATCAGATCACAATGCTGTTGTGGCCAGAAATTTATGAAATCATATTTAAGTTGGTTTTCATGTCTCTGTATGTACGTAAAGTTTTCTCAAAGACTGTTCATAAAAGAATTAGGTAAATGGTTGGTTAATTGATTACTAGTCAGTATTCATTAAGTATTTATGTTAACAGTTGTGGCAATCACATATCAGTTGTTGTCATGTTCAATCACTCAAGTCTAATTATTAATTAATAACTAATTTTTTTTATATTATTTTTAATATGACTAGATACTAATTGCTAATTAGTTTTTTACCCTATGTTTCAACTGCTATCATCTTCAGAGAAGTCCTTAAAAGGACTACTTCTGTGTTGGAAGTGGCCACGAATTGATCGTAGATCTTCTTGTTAAAAAATTTGTTGGGTTATCCACTTAGAAAATGAAGCTTCACATATTAAGACCTCACCCCACTTTGTAAGGCTCATAAAATATATTATAATAACCTCACAAGAATCAGTGATCAGCTTTGAAGTATCTAACCTGTGACGCACTACAAATAATCCACCAGCAGCTTGAAAATAATAGAATTCTTAAGGAATACACCCAACTGAAAATTTCAGTGATAATAGAACTAGCAACCCTCTGTATCAACACAACCTATTTCCAATGTGAAGATAAATACTACCAACAAAAAGAAGGCCTAGCCATGAGCTTACTCAGTAACCTGTACATGGAACATTTGGAGTTAATGCCCTCACAACAGCCACTCTATGCCCCAAAATTTGGCTCAGATATGTTGACGATACACTCGTAATATATTCCCACACTACAAATAAGATTCAAGAATTCTTGAATCACCTGAACAGACCAGATCCTGCAAAACAATTCATGGTGGAAATTGCAAAAGATAACAACCTTCCATTTCATGACATATGAGCATCAGTTATGTCAATTAGTGTTTTTGTGAAATAACTGATTAATAAAAATTTTGATTAAATCAATTAATGTCACAACAATAATTAACTAATTGAAATTAGTGGATCTGGTTGCTACTGCTTCTGATTATTCCAACTATCCAAAATATTGCTACTATGTTTCTCGTTATCATTTTTGATTAATTCAAATTTGTTCAGCATAATGAATTAGCATTTCCAGTTATCACTATTTTTAGTTATTCCAACTGTCCAAGTGATTGAAATATTGCCATTATCATTTCTCATTATTATTATTTTTTAGTACTTCAAGTTTTTTCATGGCCTGATGATTAAGGTGGTTGCTTCATGATTCAAGGGTTGTGGGTTTGATTCCCATTGTCACCAACCATGCTCATCCTTTTAGCCATTGGTGTATTTCTTTGTTTTTGAGTTATGGCAAAGCCGCTAAGGCTATATTTCACCATCCATAATTTTGAATGCCAAGCAGAAGGAAGGCAACAGGCTGGCAGCAACTACCACCAACTCTTTGGCTAATTTTTTAAACCTGAATAATTGGATCGACCATGACATTCCTGTTATTACTACTTCTATCAGCACAATTGCGGGTGATAGTATGCATGTATTATTCTTACACAAATTCACAAATGGTTCTTGGTTACATAACTATACACAATAATGACTGTTGCTTATATTTACCTTGTTGACTAAAACTAGTGTAGCTTTAACTTAATATATTGTTTACTTATTACAAGCTACAAATATAACCAGTATTACATGGGGTAATATTGCTTTAATAAAAAAGTTATGGCAAATATGTTGATTGCTGAATAACTTGCTTGTTTAACTAGATAAGAACTAATTACAATCTAACCAGATGTAAAAACCATTAAGTCATTAACCTAGGAAGCAGAGAAAATTGAAAAACAAGTTTGGCTGTCTTCACGTTCCATTTAAATACTGCCTAGTATAGTAAGCTTCTAGTTTTTTTATTTATTGATTACTCGGCACTCTGATGTTTTTACAGCTTGTTCTAGGCATGTATTGTAAAATTTAAACTTGTTAATCATTTTAATATGTTCTTTCTAACGCTTCATCTGTATGAACTTCTCACTTAAAAGCTTACGATATTTGTTATACTTATAAAAGTTGCTAATTACTTTATCACTTTTTTCACACTGAGGGTGGAATTAGAAAAAAATTTATGAAACATCTGTAATTAAAGTTGTTGCTTTTTATTATTTTTATTTCCACTTTCTGAATCATTTTAATCCATGCAAAAGGTCATCTAGTATTATCACAAGTTTTATTGTCAAATAGTAATTTTTGTACTTTCTTTATTTTTCTAATATCAGAGTGAACTTATTTTCACTGAATTATGTATATACATGACATACGATGACAAGAATATTTACTAGTTTTTATCTCATCCGATATAAAGACAATATTTTTAATAAAGGATTAATTTATTTAGTTATAGTCAAGTATTCTTATTAAAATGTGTAGCGAGAAACCCACAAAATTTGATTTATTGTATTTTCAGCTTGTTACAGATTTTGTACTACAGTTTTCATGTACAACAGTTTAGGTTTAAAAAAGTTGTTTTATGCTGAATTATTTTATCTGAAAATGTCTATCATATTAATCAAAGGGTTGTTTGAAAATGTCTTTAAAAACCCAAAACAAACTGGAAATAAAATTAGTCTCATTTGAGAATAATAGATTAGTTTAATTTAATTGATTAATGAGCCTAACCATTAAGTGATTATCAAATTCCACTAATCACCCAGCTCTAGCCTAGTTCCAGAATGAATAAGAATTTTAGTACTGATGAAGAAAGTAGAAACACAAATCTTTAACAATGGATACCTGAAACACTTGATAAAGAAGATGAATACCAAGAATAAATAAATTACATACATTCAGCTATATTACTGTATGTCAGAAGTGTCTCTGAAAACATACAGAACATATATAAACAGCATAAATTAGGACAGTATTCAGTAACTAAAACACAATGAACACAGATAGTACATACCAAACTACCTAAACACCAAATAGAGAAGCAAAATACCATTTGCAGCATTCCCTGTTAATGTGGATTCCAATACATTGGAAAAACAAAAAGACCATCGTGACAGAGAAGAAGACTATATGACAAAAGGCAATAATACTAAAATAATAGGATATGAACCCCGCATGAGAAAAAGAAAGATAAAATTAGTCTTCTACAAACACCTAACTGATAACACACTTGGCCAATCTTAATAAGAAGTTGGATACCCTGCATTGAAAATGTTCCAATAGTCACTCGATTCAAGCTATTTTGGGGTAGCTCCAGCTGAGTTGATAGTGCATTAGTCTTTCTATCAAGAAGACCCAGGGTTTAATCATGGCCACCTGAGATGACAGCATATTAGCAGCTGAAATGTACAATAAAAATACTAATTAGTAGTTATTATCTAGCTATATATATATAAAAAAATTAGAATAGTATAAAAATAATATATATAAGTGAATATAATAAGAAAAAAGATTAAAAATCAGATACTTATTAACAGTTAGATTCAGTTGATCATATAAGCTGCTGAACATAAACCAATTTTTATATTGGCACTTCCTTAATTTCTGGAATCTCACAAAGCAAGATATGATTATCGTGTGAAGTCTGTTTAAAAGACTTGTAGTGGAAGAAGTTATTTTACCTTACATGTAATGAAATTATTTTATTACTGTAGTTCTTAAGTGAATAAAATCACCTGGTAATGATAAAGTAAGTGGAGCTAAAAACTATGACTAAAAACCTATTGTTTTCATGTTAGTGGAGCTAAAAACTATGACTAAAAACCCATTGTTTTCATGTTAGTGGAGCTAAAAACTATGACAAAAAACCCATTATTTTCATGTTAGTGGAGCTAAAAACTATGACAAAAAACCCATTATTTTCATGTTAGTGGAGCTAAAAACTATGACTAAAAACCCATTGTTTTCATGTTAGTGGAGTTAAAAACTATGACCAAAAACCCATTGTTTTCATGTTAGTGGAGTTAAAAACTATGACCAAAAACCCATTGTTTTCATGAAAGTGGAGCTAAAACTATGACTAAAAACCCATTATTTTCATGTTAATGGAGCTAAAAACTATGACTAAAAACCCATTGTTTTCATGTTAGTGGAGCTAAAACTATGACTAAAAACCCATTGTTTTCATGTTAGTGGAACTATGACCAAAAACCAATTGTTTTCATGTAAGTGGAGCTAAAATTATGACTAAAACCTTTGTATTCATTGAGTTCTGATGATGAGTTTTTACATAGATTAAAGGGTTCAGTAAATAAAATACTTTTGCAGTAACATAAACAATGTTTTAAAGGCTTATCTTGTAGTGGAAGAGTAAATAGAATATTATGAAACATGGAAATGCTTTTTTGTTTTGTTTTTTCAGCTCAAAGCTCAAGCTACTGTACTGAAGAAGGCAGTTGGTGAAGAGCAAACAAAAAATTTGGAAGTGAAGGTACAGTAAGTAATGCTATATACTTCTCCTCTCACAGTTGAGGAAATATCTTGCATTTAATACACTTTTAACTCTTATAAAGTTAAGTGTTTTGTTTGTATTCCAGTTTTTTTTAATAAATGTTATAACCCATTTGCTGAATGATATGATATAATCACTTTTTTTAAATAGACTAACAAGCTCTACTGTTTTTTTATCTAGATTTGTACTTTAAGTTCTTTCAGCATCCAGAATATGTAAGGGAAGTAATAAATTTTTACTATTCATCAGAAACAAATCTTTTCTAATTCTGATTGGATATTTGGATGTTTCCTTAATTTATCGTGCACATTGTTAAAAAAACATTTATTGTAACCTTGTGTTACATCTGCGTAGTTTGTTGCATACTTGTGGTATACTGCTTTTTTGAAGAGTATTATTTAATCACTGAGCTAATTGTGTGCGTTATTTTAGTGAGTTAAATCTTTTGTGTATGTGTTACATTTTCAAGATAACTGCATACAACCTTATTGTGTAAAACTTCATTAAAACACAAATTATTTTTAGCTTTATATGAATAATATTTTAAATGACTGGTCGTTATATGGTATAATATTAGCATAAAGTAGTTTTTTTATTCAATTTTACAATATTCTCATTAAAATTTCATTAAGACATGTTCTACTTCTTTAATGCTTATAAAAAAAGTAAATCTGGACTTGAAACTTAGTTGTTTTTGAACTTCAACATGAATTAACCTAAAATTTAAAATTTTAAAAGTGGCTTCTTGCTTTCTGTGTAAAAGGTTAAAAAGTCTTCTTAAGTTATCATAGAAATGATTCTTGTAGACTTATGAGCCCGATTCTTTGTCAGTAAAATTATTATAATAAGTTTACATCCAAAAACTTACATTCTCTGTGACAGATAGCAAATTAGTATTATATACACCATTATCATAAGTAAAGATCAGTAATTGATTTGATTAATCGATAAAATTGGTTACCTATGGGCATTGGTTACGTTGATTAGTGTCATGTAAAATAACCAATTAATCAAAAATCATAATTAGATTGATTAATGTCATGAAAATAGTCAACTAATCAAAATAAGTGTTCCTAATTATTACTGCTTTTGATTATTCTGACTATCCAAGTAATCGAAATATTGCCATTATCACTTATTATTATTATTTTCAATAAATTCATGATTGTTCAGTTTAATTGATTAGTGTAATGACTGTGAAAATAATCAACTAACTGAACTTAGTGTTTTTGATTACTACAATATTTTTTTATTATTCCAACTATGTAAGTTTCATGTAAGAATAATTGATTAGTTGCATGTAATCAATTAATGACCTAACAAGTGATTAGCAATAATTTAAGATATCAAATTTAACCACACAATATATTTTTATATATCGTTATATACAAAAAACAAGAATTTGTATAAGGCATATTTTGTATAATTCTTCTAATGTATAGTTTAAATTGTTATGTGAAGAACCTTAGCTTCTAGTCAGAAAATACAAGTCCTCATAAAGATGTTTGTTCTTCCATTAATCCTATAAGGTTGCCTTAGATTATTTTCTCTTTTTTTAGTGAAAAAAGGAAACATTAGTGATAAAAACAACAACAACAACAACAAACAATGCTTAAAGTATTTACAGGCTATGGTCATTCAAAAAGAACAATATATCAATATATAACAAAATAAAAATTAATTATGCAACTGATTTTAAACTTTTAAAAATAAGCCTGTTACATTGGCTCATTGCACATAAAATAAGAATGAATGAGTTTTATACATACAAGTTTTCCATCAACAAAGATATCTTGAACAACATAATTAACAAGAGGCTATGAGCTCATGGATGTGAATAAATGGATTGTCTTGTATAAGAAGGTAAATTTTGACTTTTAAATCAGTTTATTTTCCATATATAAAAATTTGTTCATGCATATAAGAAAAAAGAAACATCAAATGTTTATTTTTTAATAACAGGAACAGTTGAAAGCTAAAGAACAGGCTATTCGTAAGCTGGAGCAAGAAATAGAATGTTTAAATTTCCGAAACTTGCAATTAACCAAGCGTGTTGCTGTGTTACAGAAAGATCTTGATGTAAAAGTAGAAAAGCCAAAGCAGAAGGTAGGATTGCTTCCATATCTAGGTTTTTCTAAAAAAAAACTAGCTTAACAAGTCTGTTCTTTTGGGTTAGACTACAATTTTTGTGTCCTATATGTTTGATAAGGTTGTTATTTTCAAGTAATATAATGTTTGTATTTCTGGTCCTGAGACATTCCAAACATAAAGTAAATTAAAAAGATGCTTTCTTGAATTTAAATGATTTACTGTGAGCTGTATTGAAAAGTTAAATTTTCTGTATTGTATCACTGATGGGATGAGACAAGCTATATGAGTATGTGAAAGTGTAACAGATGAAACAAAATTAATTTAAGGAAGAAAATCCAAGTAGTTTGATAATATAAATAGTGTGTGTATGTCTGTCTGTCATATCCCAGCTGGTCGGATGAGCCCTAGTCTTGGGTGACAGGTTTCGTCAGCACTTGGTGAATATATAGGATGATTGACGTATTGTCATACATTCTTCCTTACATTCACTATCAAGGTCTTAGAATTATAGTATTATAGTTAAACATAAATAAACTTTATTGTCATTCTCATGCAATTCAGACAAATCACAAAAAAAAATATTTTATTTGCAGTGGAGCAGTGAGCACTGAATCATCAATGTCATTGGATTTGTAGATAATTTTTATACTCTTATCTGGCATAAACATCTACTAGGTTCAGTAGAAAGGAGTAGGAGATGGCAATAAATAGCCTTACATAGTCAGTAAAGGTTTGGGAATAATGTTGATCCTTTATTAGGTACATTAAGCATGTTGAGAGGTTTGAGAAAAATTTGTGTGTGTATCGGTGACGTAGAAGTATTTTTGTTCTGATTATATAAAATATCTCACTCTACATGATAAAACAATTTTAGAAATACTGTAAGCATAAGTTGTGCAATGCTTTGTGCTACCTACAAATGTTATAAAGATTAGCAGCTTTATAAGCACAAATTAAGTAAGGAAAACAACACAATTTTACAAAAAATATAGTTAATTACCCGACTAGTTGGACGTACCACAGTATACTGTATACCTTTGAAAAAACTAGTCAATTAATTAACTTTATATTTTTGTAAATTCGTGTTGTTTTCCTTACTTAATTTGAGCTTAGAAAGCTGTTAATATTTATAGCATTTATACTTTCAGTTGATGCATTTCTGGTTAACTCTAGTATTTTTGTTTTATTCATTAAAAGTTGAAGGAACCTAACAATTTCAAAAGGCAAACTTTCTTTTGGCAGTGGTGGATTGAGCTCCAGCTTGTCTTTGATGTAGGAAGAACTTTTTTGATACAAAAGTTTCTGATCATTGAATAATATTATGTTAGTGTTCTGTGTGCTGTGACTAAAACAATAGCAAATTATATAACTTTTTTTTAATAACTAAAAATATTGTTTATGATATCAGCTGGTTGCAAATAGTGCAAAAAGCCCCTCCACGTGAACGTGGAGCTTGTTTTACGACAAAACTTTCTATGATGGAACTTTAAAATGCTTTTGGAAAACAGTTCATTTAGTTTAAGCAGTACCATAAATTGTTTACTTTAGCAGAGACAAACAGTAGAGAGTTTCAAGACTTAAAAAAACATTAATAATGATAATTTATTTCTTATCAAACTATGTTTATTAAGTTTAAAATTAATGAAAAATATTAATATTTCAGTCTTTAGACATGATTTCTATGTAGACTAGTATCAGCTTTGAGTCAGTATTTATCTTCATTGTTATTGGTGGCCACTTTTGTCGTATTTTAATATTGAGAACATTAGCAAAACATGGTCATCTGAAATTTCAAATGGCCGATGATGAAGAAATTAAAAAAACATGGCTGTTAACAAAAGTGGGATGAAACCAGTTTAAAATTAAGGTAGATAGAAACTGCAGCTAGAACATCAAAAGTTTTTCGTTAAATGAATAACCTTTATACACCATCTTATTACCTGTGTAACATCAGCTGTTGTATCTATGATGATCTTCATTTTACAACACAAAAACTATGGTTGACAAAACAGTCAACATAAATTTAGCAACAACCATTTTTAGTAATATAAAATTAGAATATCCACATACATGAGTTATGGCACAATGCTTGTTATAGAAAATGATTGTCGTATAACATTATAAAAAAATGGTGCATTTTTACATGTATTATCTTTTTGTTTTATTGTTTTTGACTTTTTCATGTTCCATGCACACAGACAGAATAAGGGTGACATAATCTAAGCCTGAATGCTCAATCAGACAAAACTAAAACATAGTTTTTATTTATATTTGTGGGTGTAAAAATATTTATAATCTAATATATTGGTAAGTATTTGAAAACAGTATTTTGGTTACTGATATCAGTGGATCATTTATTAAATGATTTTTTTTTGCCAAAGTGATATGTTATTTAATTGATAATATTTGTAAATACTTTTTTAGAAACCTGCTTTTCCTGGAGGAGCTCACACTGTTTTAGATGCAGAGCTTCAAAACAGGATAGAAGAAAATGAAAGACTCCATCAACAGGTAGGAATGTTTAAAACTTCCCTAACCATGTACTTGTTACTGTAATCATATTTTGTTATATCTTATTTTAACAGCTCGTTAAAATAGACTTTTAGATTTTAGTTTTTATGCTAAATGTGATTAGTGTATGTCAGGGATTAATCTCTCTAAATGTAATAAATATTGTTTTCGGTAACAGCTGAAATATATATCGTAAATTAACTGGATCATTAGTGAAAACGTTAATTAAATTTGAAATACCATAGAATGTTGTTAAATAAGACCATATTCAATATCATTTTTTATTATTATAATAAAAAAATTCTTAAAGAAACTTGTTAGTATATAAGGTAGCAGTTTGCATTGTATAATTTGGATTATCAGTTTCCACTTTCTCACCTAACTTTCACGTACTTACCTTTAATTTAGCTACAGTGTTTAGATTCTAATTCTATATAATGAAGTTTTTTTATTTTTCTCGTTTACAAGTTAAAGTTTTAGAAATAACGTCAAATTCAGTTATTGATAGAATATATTTTCCACACACATCTTTATTGATTGAAAGCTGGTACCACTTACAGCATTGATAAATCTATATTTAGTAGAGAAACATCATTTAGATTTAAGTGAAGAGTGTGAAAATTGGTTCACACACACATCTTTATTGATTGAAAGCTGGTACCACTTACAGCATTGATAAATCTATATTTAGTAGAGAAACATCATTTAGATTTAAGTGAAGAGTGTGAAAATTGGTTCACACACATCTTTATTGATTGAAAGCTGGTACCACTTACAGCATTGATAAATCTATTTTAGTAGAGAAACATCATTTAGATTTAAGTGCAGAGTGTGAAAATTGATCCCTTTTGTTATGTAACTGATTACTTCATTAGGCTCGAGAGACAAAGAAGGCATGAATATTTCCACTGAACTATTATATCTGCTTATATATTGTAACTTGGAATATTTCAACAACAAAACATTTGAAATAAACTGAAAAAATCTGGTGTGAGGATCTGTCTATTCATAATTATGTGCACTCTCATCTGACTTTTGCATGAACATAACTAGAGGGAGTGCATGCAGTGAAACGATCCATAAAATGTGGAAAGCTTGGTAAAAGGATAAAATAAAAAATTGAGAGAAATAACGATAATTTTTTTTTATACAGGAAAGAAACAAAAAATGATTTTGGAAACTTATCAGTTATATGCCAATCAAGAGACTGTACACTAACCTGATTCCTCTGGTAAAACTATATACTTTGCTATGTATATATTGTTATGATGAATGATAAAAAAAAAGGACCAAGGACAAGTATTTGTGGTATAAGATTGTTTATTCTTCCATTATACATAAAATTTGATATTAACCTGATCTAGGCCTGGCAGAGACTGTGGTTATGGCATTCAAATCAGTCTGCACCAAACATGCTTGCCTTTTAAGTCATGAGAGCATTATAATGTGATTGTCTATCCCACTTTTTGTTGGTAAAAGAGTAACCCTAAGAGTTAGCACTTATCACTTCAAAATTAGGGACAGCTAATACAGATAGACCTCAAGTAACATAGCGTAAAATTCAACAAACAAACAATAGCCTGAAAAATTGTTCTTATTGCAGTGAAAGCTGCTGACTTTTTTTGTGCAAAATCATATTACAGTCATTCACTTTATGATTTTTGTTATGTGTATTCTTTGTCATAGTTAGGAAAGATGAGGTCAATACAAGAACAAAATAGAATTAATTTGGACAACTAGGACTAACATAATTGTACAACATTATTTAGATAATTGTCATAACAATGAGATCATTGTCTCTCAGAAATGGTATGTAAATTTATCTTAGTGTACCCCTTCATTATCACAAATTGGGTGTACAGAAAATATAATAATTAAGACTATTACATTAGAATATTTTAAAAATTTAGACCTAGCCTACCTCATATTTAAGACATTTATGGTTAGTTTTGGTCATTAGAAAAGTTCTCTCTTTTAGCCAAAAAAGCAGTAATTTATGCCTCTTTTTCCTTAAGTATTTTAATTTTTAAAAACGTCATCACAAGTAGCCATGGTCTATTATGAAAGGAACAGTGAGTTAAATAGTTCTTAGTAAGGCCTAGAAAAAAGAAATGCTTTGATTCTTATTACCCAACCATCCCCTGATGTTTTTTCAGTGGTTTCCAAAACACAAAAATTTGACTTTAGACCAAACCTAATGAGAAACACCATTTGTTTAATTTATTTTATTTCATTAAATTATTGCACCAATCTGCTACAATATTGTGCAAGGTGAAGGTCATGAGAAACCATGTTTCTGATTCGTTAGTCGGTGTGGTGTGTCAACACACTCAGCCTATTATAGCTGAGCTTCCATTCAGGCAATGTCAAACATTTCTTCATGGCAGCTAGAATATTATCCACATTTTCCCAAAAAAGACAGTGTCACAGTTTACTCAAACAGTCAAAGACGTGTTAGTCATACCATCCTAAACTAGATTTGAGTGATTATTAGCAGACATCAACACCTAATGATCTAAGCAAAGTTTCATTGGACATTGGGATAGATCAGTTAGTAGACACATTAAGTGTTAAATCAGTTGAATTTCACTGTAGGCCTAAACCAGAATGCCTGCAGAAGTTGAAAGTATCAGTAGAACAAAGGATACTGTGGCAAAATCAGCTCAATACTCTGCCTACCTACCCTATTGTCAACGATGTAAAAAATATTTAAATAAAAAGAAATGCCTTTATACCTACACTATTTTTCTTCAGCATGTAATAGGAAATAAAGCATTTTTTTCTAGGCTTAATTAAGATTTTTGAATTAACATTCTCCTCATGAAATGTAATGTGAAACCATATATTTTGCAATGGATGGCCAGCTTTTTGCTCACTATGCTGTGCTGGTTATAACTGCCAAATATTAGGGCAATCACATGGTAATACATTACCCAAATGACCATAGTACCCATTAATGAACATTAGAAAAGACTACTGGTGCCTCTGAGTTAGTGGTCCATTGTGTGCAGTCTATGCATGTTAGAAATTTATATGGGTGATTACTTGAACTTGTGTGTGTTTAGGTACAGGTGTCACGAAGAGGCACACCGTAAACTTGAAAATAATATATCATGAACTTGGCAAGACCGGAGCAATCCAACTTAAATAACTGGCTTTATCTCTGTTCCTTCATTTTCTTTAGGTATATTCTGCTGAACTTGAACACAAGAAGCAAATTGAAGAATTGTCACGATATCTCCAGGAGGCTCGAGATGAATTGGCCCTGAAAGAACATATCTTAAATGAGGTCATCAGGAAACAAGAGACAACCATATCCAAACTGACTGATGAAAGAGCCAAGATAGAGGTACTGTAATAATGAAACTTACTAACTTTTATGAAAATAAAAAACACCATTAAAACCAGTTACATTATTACAAAGAATATTCCATTTAAGTGTTTTTTAAAAGATGGGGCAGTCTTATTCCCTCTTTTTTTCACCTCTTCACCTGCGAGCTATTGAACTTCTGGTCATTGTGGTTTTCACTTCTCATTATTGTCCTGCACATGAGATTCTTTTGCTTTTGAGCTCTGGCTTCTCTAGAATCACTCATTCCTTTGGGGCTTGCATACATGTACATCCTCCAGTGAACTTTGTGGGACCAGTGGAATCGTTCTCAGGTTCCATTGTCCTCAATGGAGAACCTCACTTTTCCTCTTCTCCAACATTTCTCTTGATGGTTAGACTGTGCCAGTACCATAGTTGGCATTCCATCACATACACACACCCAACCAGATTTCCATCTTTTCATAGTTGCTTATCTTATGGGTTGGAGTTCATTTCTGAATGATACTATATTTTGTGGTATTTGGACACAGGAAGAGTGTTCATTTCACATCAACATGCTTGAACTTCTCTTTGTTCATCAAGCATGTTCCCATTTTCTCTCTCTTCTGGTGGATCAGTTAGTCATAATACACCCTGACAATTCCACAGTTGTTTCTTCACCCATTGAGGGGGCACCTGCTTCAGGGCTCTTTGCTCTCAGGTGTTAGACCTCCTCTTCTGGGTTCTTTCCCATTGAGTTTGTCTTGTTACTTGTCTTGTACTGGGAGCTTTGAACCTGGTGGCATATTGCTTCTCTTGGCCAGACCACATTCTGCCCATGATGTGGTCTCCCCACCTCAGGATTTTTTTTACTGGTTTTGCTCTTGGTCGGACACACCTCTCATGGATGCCTTTGCCTCTCCTCTCAACTCCAAGCTCCATCTCTTCTAGACCCCTGTTCCTCATCCGTTCTGGATGTCAATGCTTTCAGCCAGGACTGATTTAACCTTTTACTGTATGCCTAGCCACCTCTTTGACTCTTCTTTCAGGGCCTTGCCTTGATAAGCAGCACTCCTTCATGTTGGTTCCTATTTGTGGAGTCTCTTTGGCTAGCTCAGCCCCAGTTTCCTCTGCTTCTTTGATTGGCATCCAGAAACCCATTCCTCTTATCAAATTCCCCCTCTTTCACTTTTACTTCACACCTCCCTTTTTTTTCATTCAGGGATATCATCCCTTCATCCACATGTAGGATTTGTTCGGTCCATCACCCTTAGGGCTGGACTCTCTGAATGTGTAGACTTCTTATTATCCCATTCATATTGAGCTTCCATTTTGTCTGTCAATGCAAATGGTAGGTTACTCATCATTGATCCATCCACCACCCTTTCCTCCTGGCTGTCCTACTATGACCCTCCTTTCTGCCTTTTCACTTGGTTGTTCGATAATGGTTTTCAGTCTCCGCCTTTCTACCACTTTTCTCTTATGACTTCCTTCCTTCTCCTTTTCACTGGTGGTTTCCATTTTTCAGATATCTGTGCTATTGATGCTTCTTACACACTATTACACTGCACTTCTTACTTCTCTACCTGGACCATCTATCTTCAGCCTATTTTTGAGAGTGACCGTTCTTTCTCTTCCATCTCTCACCTCTATGCTTTTTTTTTATCCATATCAGGTCCTATGTCTAGTTTGGATTGTGTGGTATTGCTTGGCATAAACTTCTGCCTTTAGGAGTCCCCACCATTGTCTTTTTTACCCTGGGATCCCTCTTAATCCAGGGACCTCTCATACTGTATCCTTATTGGTTGGGCCTGTTAGCTCCTCCGTTTGTTGAATTATTCTTTGGATATTGATGCTCACATGCTCTTTCATGTTTCTTTGCATATCCTTTGTTTCCCGTCTCACTCTCTTGGTTTTCATTTTTGCCAGCCCTTGGACATATGGCCAACTCCCCACACATTCATCTTTCATTGCCTTCAACATTGGACTATTTTGTCTTCTGCAGGATTTTGACTACCCCAAGTTGCCATTCTACAATTGACCCACAGTCCTTGAGATTGATAAGTTTCTTTTCTTTTCCACTCCATCTTCATCTAACAGGATCCCACCAGGTGGCTGATGTTGTCTCCCTGAGTGTACTTACTTCCCAAAATCCACATTGGGCCAAGGGTAATGGAAAGCACTCAGACCATTCACCGTGGCTGTACCAATACCCATTATTAAAATAAGGTGTTCGGCAAGACCATTAAAAGTATCCTCATGGTATAGAAAATTACTCAGTTGGCTGATTCAAACCATACCATTCCATGAACTATAATGCAAAAAGCTGGCACCAGGAAAATGACTGCCCACTTCTTTTAAATATATGGTTTTACAGTCCCCCATTGCACTGTTTCCAGTAAAAGACCTTTCTGGCAGGTGTTCAGTGAGAATCTGGGCACTCCTCTGGGTCTACCCAACATGAATCCTCCTCCCCTTCTTCAAGTGGAACACAGAAGACACTTATCAATTCCTAGCCACTGGAGTGGTGGAACATGAATAGTTCCTCACTGATTTGACTTAGCACAATGTGATCAGAAGTAAGGCAGTGGTTATGCTGTCAGTGTAATGCAGGTCATCCCTTAAACAGCCAGAATGTCATCCTCCTGCAGGCTGATTTTGTCCAGTTGAGTAAGGTCTGATCATGCCTTAACCACATTAAACCTTGTGTGAAAGTGCTCAGATAGTCATGTTCTTATTTTGACCATCCCTGTAACACTTGGGTCTAATTTTCCTCTCCCTCTACATTCCAGGTCTAGACAAGGTGCGGTCTTCCACAGGTGAACAATTAAAGAGCCCCTGCCATCAAATGTCACACTCCATGGGCTTTGCTTTTGGGTGCTTTCTGAAGGGAGCTCATCCAGGTTTAATTTTGCAATGGCACTTCCATCAATTCATTGTGGGATTCTAGCTATTCTGTGTGAGGAGGTGAAGTATCCTATCAGAAGTTAACATTTTCCTAATCTGAATTGGAGTTCCGATAAATACTCACCTCTTGACACATTCCCACCCAATCTCCCCACTTCCACTGCACTTTCTTCTTGCCTCTTTAAGACTGAAGTTATTTTGAGTGTAAGTGCTTAAGGGGAGTTACAGCACATGGAGATTGTATTGCCCTCCCATTGGTGGAGGACTATTGTCACATGATGATATCATCATGCACCAGTGCAGTTTATGTTAAACACATGAATTTTTGGTGAGAGTTAGCTCAAGGCTAGTGGCATGCAAAACTCATAGGCAGATGTGCGAGAGACATAGTTATTTTATGTGCAGAGGTATCTATCGGAAATGCATTTTTAGTGTAGGAAAATATTAACTTTAGTATGTCAAAATAAATTTTTCTAAAGAAAAGACTGACTGTTTTGTTTTTGTCTTGAGTTTATGGTTTTTATAGATTGTATAAGATTATTAAGCATTTCAATATACATGTTTGTTTCTGAAGTTATGTCAGTAGCTAGTAGAAAACAAAAACAGCTGTGATGGACTTATTCTGCTTTATGCTAGGAACATTAAGACTTGGAGTTTACACAAGACATTTGTACTTTCAGTTTGAGAAACTAAATGTATTTGTTAACTGCTCTTATAAGTATTCAGCATGAAAGTGCACATGCTGGATAAGTTTTACTGATCATAATCACTGTTTATCATATTGTGTGATGCTTATTGTTGTCCTCTAGACAAATAATAATACATTTTTGTTTAGGTAAAACTTCGGAACTTTGAGCGAAATTTCCAAGAAATGACGATGAAAGAAGAAATTCGGTGTGTAAAAACTTACTTTTGACATATATTTTGGTGAAATTATGCATTGTGATCTGATTCAAATTTAATTGAAAAGTAAAAGTGAGAGTTGATAGAAGTTAAACGTGAATTTAATATTTTTTATTTATTAGATTTATAGAAGTATTATAGTTGTGAACGTATACAAAACCATCATTGCTCAGATGTTAAACCTAAAAAGAAATATCTTTAATTATTTTCTTCGGTGATTTTAAGCTAAATACATTACTTCAATCAAGTAACATGTTTTGTATATGTAGTTACTTATTTTTATACAGCTGTATTTTTATTTTTAATGTTAAGATACATTCAGTTAAAGTTTTCTTTTGTTATTCATCAAGTGAAAATGAAATCAAAATCCTTCAAGCTCAACTTCAAGGGAAGAAAGAAACCACTTCTAATGTAAATGGTTACAAAACAGGGTTTGTGGACTGCAGTAAGTACAAATTAAGTACATCAAAGTAGTTTTATAGGAAGTAAAGATTTCAGTGTCTGTATTATATGTTAGTTTAAATCGGTGTAAAACTTCAGAAAAACTTTTTGTAATTTATATTCTTTCACTATTAAACTTCCACTATTTGAAAAAAAAGTCTTATGAGTTAAAATCTCTTTGGCCTATGTTGGAAAAGTTAACAATTGTCACTACTAGTGTTAAATGCAGTAAGTAACTAAAGGAACCACTACATTATGTGAGCTGAATGAATTGTTGTGCACCTTTTATAAATAAATTCTGTTTGATATTATTACTTCCAATGTTGGAAGACTTGTTCTCATTTACTGTCACAAATTTTCATTTATTCAAAAACGTAGTAGTCTGATACTAACGTACTGAAGCTACTTCCCATTCAGTGATATGAACTGTTGTCCATAAAAAAGGAACCAGTGTTTTATGAGAATATACATGTAAATATAGGGTAATGTAAGTTTTCCACTTAGTTACTCCAATCAGCTCTTCATAGCATAACATAAATTACTTACATAAACCCTGTCTTATATTAGCATTAAATACATAATTTTTTTTAACTTTTACAAATAAAATTACAAATCTATATATATATTAATGTGCATTCTGATACACAAATTTAGCAATGTTTCCTGTCAATAAGTGTGAATGGTTAATTCACAAACTCAAAAACTAAACCATGGTAAAAGGCTTTAAAGCATGACCACTGTTAACTTTAATACATGCTATACCAACCCATCACACAAAAGAAAAAGTAAGTTATTATTAGTTGCAAAAACGTAAAGTTCCCTTTATTCCAGTGAATCAAAATAAGAGCCATTGACCCTATATGCATATTTCACCATTTTAGTATTGGGGATCTTTTATCATACATTCTACAATATAGTTTGGACAAAAAGGGAAAGAATTGTAAAGTCTGAATATTCTTTATAATATTCTTGTACTAAAAGTTAAAGCTCAGCTGATTACGTTTTTGCAACTAAAAACTTACTTTTTGTTTTGTATGATGGATTGTTATTGCATGTATTTAAGGGTTAAAGTTAATAGCAGTCATGCTTTAAAGCCTTTTACCATGGTTTAGTTTTTGAGTTTGTGAATTATCCATTTTCACTTATTGACAGGAGAAATTGTAAAATTTGTGTATCAGAATTCACATTAACATATATAGATTTGTAACTTTATTTGTTTGAGTTTCCTTTTTAATTTTTTAATGCTAATTAATTCTATTTAATGTTAATTATGTAAATAATTTATGTTATGCCATGAAGAGCCAAATGGAGTAACCTATACATGTAGATTGAAAAAGAAATGACCATAACCTCCAGAACAAAGTTGTATATTATTTCACTCAATGTTTCATTTCTACAACTTCATCAGGAGAGAATTTCGCTATAATCTTAGGCTGTGCATTCCCATTCATGTTGTTGTTTTATATTATTGTTTTGTATCAATGTATATAATATTAAACACTTGAACTTGTTTCCTTCTCTCTCTCTCTATGTATTATAGAATAAAATTAAAAATGCATAGTCTGTTAGCCATTATGAGTCCAGTAGTGTAAGTAGAGAGTCACTCCTGAAGAATTTGTAGAAATGAAACATTCATTGAGATAAATGTAACCTGATAATAATTAACTCAAATTATATATGCCACCTCAAACCTCCAGAAGGACAGCCTAGTTTATTAGTAGGAAGTAATTTCATACCAATTCATAGAGACGAGCCACTGAGCTCTTTCATACTAAACCTTAGTTATCATAATATTATATAAACATCGAGTTTTAATTTAAATACAGAGTCGCTAGTTGGCCATGTGGTAGAACTCTGGATTGCAGAGCTGAGAAGCTAGGTTTGAAACTGAACATTACCACAAAATATTCCCTACACGTTAAACTGTGGGTTCATTATTACAGTAACAGTCAATCCCACAGCATGGATGATAGGGTGCTGCTGGCTTTATGTCTTACCTCTGTTCAGTAGTTCCAAATTAGAGATTGTGGCAGGTAGCCTTAGCTGTTTTGCAATAAATATAAACAAAATTTTAAGTACATGATATTTTTTTTATATTCTTAGAAGACCCGCAGATGAACTTATTAAATGTACCAGTTTCACTTCAGCGTCATCAGAAGTTACTAAAAACATCTCTCAGAGCATTGGGTAATGCATTACCTGATGTAGTAGTTGCCCTGGGGGCTTTAGGAAACCATTTTACTGCCTGGGTGAATGATGTAATACGGGTTAATGAGTCATCTAAGCCAGGACATCTTGTCAAGGTGTGTTACTGACATACAACTGCTTTATAAGATATTATTTATATATATTCAAAAAATAAGGTATTTCATTTACAGTAAAACTAAGAACAGAAGATAAATTAGAGTTTGAGAAAACGTTTTTTTCATAAGGTTGTAATTTTTGTTTTCAATTAAAAAGTAAAGTTGTTGGTTTTACCACTCAAAAAAACTGTTTGGTTCGTTTAGATTTTTTATACTTATTCACATTTCACTTTAATGTATTGAAATTTCTAAAATAAGCAAAATGAGATGTGTGTTATATACAACATCCGCTTTTTCTAGCTTTCTAAGCTACTTACAGAAAATGGTGGACATTTGAAAAAAATTGAAGAAGAGTACAACTTTTGGATGGAAAAAGCTGTTAGTGAAGACATCTTATTTGGTGTAGGTCATACATGTACTATTAAGTAAAACCTGTGATATAGGTTATAAATTGTTATTGTGAACTGTTAGTGAAGACATCTTATTTGGTGTAGGTCATACATGTACTATTAAGTAAAACATTTGATATAGGTTATAAATTGCTATTGATATCTTATTTTCTATAAATTCTCAAACCGATGACTTGTATTGTTTACTACTATTTAAGTTCAAGTATTGCATCATATAGAGTAACTTTATATTTTTTTCCTATTAGAATATTGACCAGTAATTTTCTATGTAAAGTAAATGGGTGCAAGCAGTAATTAGTGAGGTTAATTGTAATATTTATGTTTTTTTTTTAATTTTGTGTGTGTGTATGACATATCTTATTATCCCTGTAACCAATGAAGTCATGGACCCACTAACACTTTGGTGCACAGATAGTTTATAAAATATGTTTAAGAAACTGATGTAGGCTTCAAAGTGCTTTTATCTGCTGTTAAAACCTTATGGAGACATCTCATGTGGTGTTGGTTACAAATTACCCTTGTGTACTATTAAGGAATATTAATGAAAAGCCTAGTTTGTGGTAGGGTAATCTAGGAGTAGATTTGTTGTAAATTGTGTTTTTTTTACTATGTCATCTTTTATTTTGATGAGTGTTATATTAAAAAGAAAATTTTCCACATGTCTACGGTACAATGAATTTATTCTTTAATACAGATGGTGGGAAGAAACCTGTCTGATTTATCTGATGCCTACTCGGGGTACGTGAGATACCTAGAGAAACTTTTTCCTTATGTTCTGTTGTGGTAAGTGACATCCTAAAAATATGGGTACCTTTAAAAATTAGTTCAGAACAAGTAATGTGATTTGGTTTTATAAAGCAAATGTTAATAGGTATGTGAAGATCAGTTTGAAATGATTACAAGACAGTTGTTGGTTTGAGTTTGAACCAAAAAGAATAAATCCTGAGGAATCTTTAAAAAATCTGTTATGTATATATTAAAGAATCTTACAAAAATGTGTTTTTTTTTATTGTCAGGTAGCAATTTTGTTAAACTATACATTTTTAGACACTCTGAATTGTTATGTGGTATAGTGGTTAGCATGTTCAGCCGAGTTGTTTTTCAGAACATTCAGGGTTTGCACCACAATGCTGCTAAACATAACAGGGATGGTCAATTTCAGTGTTTAATTCAAAACTGGTCAAAAACCTTGTGGCAGCAGATGCTGTGTGCTGACTACTTTCCCACTTGTTAGTAGTTTAACACTAGGAATGACTAATACCTGAATCCTAGAGGCTTCTGACCTAGCTATTTTGCCCATGTGTGAATATGGTGTGATTCATGTTCAAAATATTAAAATTCTGAATCATTATGTAAAAGATAATTTTTATAACGTAGTACAGATACTTTCATAACACAACTTTAAAATTTATTTGCAATTAAGTTATTTTTTAAACAGTATCATGTCATCAAGACACAAAAACTTGTGTTAATGATATTCAATATTAATCAATTTTATCCCTTTACCCAGTATATAAGTTTTATATTCATTAGCTTTTTAAGAAAAGTTCAGATAAATGTGAAATCCATTTTTCATTCAGTAAAATGCGTTTTAGCCTAAATTGGCTTCTCATAGACTAATTTCTGTTTTTTTGAAATACAAGTTTTCAGAATCCACCTCCCAGTGGGAGCAGAGACCTAGCAAGACTCGCGGAAATCCACACTAACCTGCAACATACCCTAGCACGATTAAGAGGGAGCTTTAGTAGAGTGGAGCGATATCTCACATTATACACTACAGGTAGGTTTTTTTTACATTTCAGCTTTAGCTTCATTAGATTGTATTTTTGAAATGTTACCAAAACATCATAATTTTGTACAGCTTATATGTTGTACCAGTATATTATAGGTGTTTTTGCCAGTTGAACAACAATTTCTTAAATAATGTACATGTTTTTGTTAATTCTGAACAAAGATTAGATTTGTAAGAAAAAAATCTTCAGAAGTCAATATTAAGAAAATGATTTGATTTTATTATTATTGCAAATTTCTTATTGATACATTATAGGTGTACCTGATGATAAGGGAGTTTTGAAAACGTCACCAGTGGTAGTTCTACAGCTTGTCAAGTCTCTCAGAGGGATTCTGATGTGTTTTGAAGGTAGGAAATTAAATCTTTGTGATTATATAAATATTTTCAAAGTAAACCAATCCAGTACCCATATATATCCATCATTAAAAAAAAATAATAAATGTAAGCTAAAATGTAAAAAAAAGTAAGAATTATCCCAATTTCATTTAGTAATTTTATTCTTATTTTGAATTAAACTATTTTCTTTGTGTTTTTATAGCTGTTAAAAAATGTGTTTACATATTTTTATGTTAGAACTATTTTCTTTGTGTTTTTATAGCTGTTAAAAATGTGTTTACATATTTTTATGTTTGAACTATTTTCTTTGTGTTTTTATAGCTGTTAAAAAATGTGTTTACATATTTTTATGTTAGAATTATTTTCTTTGTGTTTTTATAGCTGTTAAAAATATGTTTACATATTTTAATGTTAGAATTATTTTCTTTGTGTTTTTATAGCTGTTAAAAAATGTGTTTACATATTTTTATGTTAGAACTATTTTTCTTTGTGTTTTAGGCTGTTAAAAATGTGTTTACATATTTTTATGTTAGAACTATTTTTCTTTGTTTTTCTACAGATGTTAAAAAACACTACAGTGCTAAACTGTTAGTGCAAAATCAACTTCCTACAATCAGTGAGGAGACAAAGTCTGCCGGAGAATTCGTTCTGTCTCTCATTGTATCCACACTAGCAGGGCTTAAAAAGGTAATATTTTCCAGTATAATATCCCTTCAATAATCTCTTCAACCCATAACTGCTGTATAGAAAATTATAAGAGGTCAGATTAGCAATACATTTTTATTCAGAATACACCAATATTAAATTGTGTTGTTCATATAAAATTACATTAGTACAAAGAAAAAATCTTGTTACTGGGTTACTTCGAAATATCTACCGTTTTAACAAAAAGTCACTGTAGTAGGCCTAATATACATATTTATTTATTTAAATGAACCTAAATAGGTAAGCTTAATGGAAGTATAAAGTATATTATTAGTTTCGAATTAATTTTGTTTAATTTATCTATGTAAGAATTACATTTTAAAACTATGTTTTTAGTTTTAATATGTCAGAATTTTAAAATCTGATCTTTGCCAATTGTCAAAATAAAAAGGCTTTTAGTTATATTCTTAATAGTATAAATCTATACTATGTTGTTGTTTAGCTTAGGATTCTTCTTTGACATGTTAGCGATAAATAAATGATGAATAAACAGCATGCATTTCACTTGTTTTCAAAATAATATATATATATATTCAGAACAAGTTAACATATGTACAATAAATTCTTCAACACTATAAGTATTATGGACATATTATAAGTACTATATATGTAGTTCTCTCCTTCTTGTCAAATATCCACTTAGGTCTATTTAATTACTTTAGAATTTCAGTTGACAAGCCGAACTATCTTCTCTATTTCTATTGCACTAGTATTCTATGTGATTCTCTTACAATTGTGGCACGAGTTACTGTAATCATTTGGTCTTCTTTCTTTTGAAGATCTTGTGCTCCTTTTGTCAAAGTGCACTTAAGCTGATTCAATTACTTTAGAACCATGCTTTGACAGAATAAAATTATTCTTTCTTAATATTTCTTATTATTTTTTTTTCTTCTGTTAGTTTCACTCTAACATATTAAACATTAGGCCTATCACTTCTAGAGTAGTTAACTTCACACCAACTTTATTCTCTTTTGCTATTATATGTCTGCTGCTTCCCCGTCGTCTCTAGCTATGTATATCTTTATCACTTAATCATCTGTTCTCCTCCTATATTCTCGACGTCAATGAATTATTAACAAAACTTCCTACAATCGTCTGCTTTTAACTTTTATTATAACAAAAACTAAACA